AAAATTATCGCGAGAGGAAAGACGTCTACGACGAAATGACGATGGTGGAACTTTTTTCCTGATTTTAAACGAATTTGTATCATAAAACTGTTTATTTCAATTTCTCCCAGGTAGCGCAGATTGCAATAAATTGGGATTTCATGGTAAAATTGAATTGCATTTTGTAATACGGAACTATATTCCTATATTTTGCAAAATGGGGTCCAATTATTGCTACTGCATCTGAGTGTTGTGTATGTTGCCTATCTACCGATTGAAGGAACACTTGCCTATCATTGACATGGATTGCCATGCAATGAGATTAAAATGAGTTCCAATTTTTCGTTGCATTGCGTATTACGTATCTTGCTGGAACATCAAACTCACTTCGTTGATAATTTGAAATCAGCATTATCATCCAAATGATGTAAAATGTTGCTATTTCATGGTAAAAAAAAATTATATTATGAAAGATACTCTAGAAACTAAGAAAAAGGGTTTTAATCAATAAAATTTTAAACTCACTTGCATGTAAAAATATTAAATTGCGGACGCGTTTCGCCAGCTCGGAACCCCAGCATCCTCAGCAATTAAATATTTTTACGTGCAAGTGAGTTTAAAATTTTATTGATCTTTTATCTTGTGCGGGTCTCCAAAAGTATCTTGAAGGGTTCTCAGCCTATGTCCCCCGAAGTAATGCCCTTAGGCTGTTCCGGGGTTTTATTAAGTTAAGTTCCCCTGTAATTCAGTATAGATATCATATGTGACTTGAATAATTATGTATTGTATCACCTAATCAACTTAAGAAATAAATTTTAAAAAAGAAAAAAAAATCCTCCTTAAATTGAAAAAATGAATAAAACCAACCACAATTTCTCATTCGTAAAATGATTGAATAAGATAAGAAAATTCACAAAAAAAAAAAAAAAAAAAAAAAATTATCGCAGAGTTGTAGATTTATCTAGCAAGACGTAAAGGGGGTGCACAATGTTAGGGACTTTCAATGTTAGTAGTTTCATATTCCAAAAGTAAAAAGGACTAAGTATTATTTACGAAACAGAAATGTATCTTTCATAAAAATAACATTACCTCGAAGAGGCCATACCTCATATCTGTAGCCAGTCAAAAGCTAAGTATATAATTAAACTCCTCAAGCCCCCACAAGACTCAAAGGCTGCAGGAAATTCAAGGCAAACCAGGAAAAACCACTCCCATTCGACGTTTTATGGCTCGGGACAATAAAAGGCGTGAAAGTGTCGATAAGATACGATAGGGTTTAAAAAATCAGATACGTTAAACTAGCATAAAAAATAATGTACAGACATATTCTGCTTTTATGAAGGAAAACCAACCATTCTCGATTCGTGAATTTCACGATTTTCCTTTCTATTATGCGAATGTATCAGTCGTTTTCCTCTAAAGGAATGGAGGAAAAAGAGAGATTTTTGTACGCATTCATAATATGCAGATTGCGTGCTGTATTTTTTCGCGGCGGGACGGACTTGTATGGATAAACCGAAAAGGAAATCGGATTGAAAACTTTCAAAATTTTCAACTGAGATGCCAAAAAATCTCGGTCGACCGCGGATGACCGACGCTTTAACGCACCTATCTACATATTCCTCTAGGTTCGCTATAAATTAACCGAAATTTCAAAGGCGTTTAACAATTATCATCTTCACGCCAGTCCTTTTACCAAGTAATCGGATCTTTATAGCGGCCTTAAGACCCAAAGACGTTAAACATTTATTGAAGATTTTTTATTTAATCGTCAAAAATGAATCAATTTTATCTTTTGAAGAACAACTTTGGGAGAAAACATTATGTTGGAAAAAAAACTGCCATGAAATCTTGGTCATCCGCAAATAACTGAATACTCATCGAGCTCTATACAAATTTCTTTACGTTCGCCATTATCCAACCGTAAGCTTGAAAGCGCTTTATCATCGCAGGAACACCCTCCAGAGATCTTCCCCATCGACCGCGAATAACCAAAACCGTGGATAATTGGATCGCGAACAACCAAAATTCTACAGTGTACATTTCTCTACGTCCAACATCAATCCAGAGTGATCTCAAAAGCTTTTCATCATTTTATTCTTCTCGGGAGACGCTCCAGATAGACCTTACAGACATTTTCTCCATCGACCGCGGATAACTGGATCGCAAATAACCAAGAACCCGCAGTATTCATTTCTCTACGTTCATCATCAACCAACCGCAATCTCAAAAGTGTTTCATAATTTTCATCTACTTGGCAGACTCCAGATAGACCTTAGATAGACCTTCTTTATCGATCGCGGATAACTGGATCACGAATAACCAAGACTCCGCAGTATTCATTCTCTACATTCACCATCAATAATAAGCGCAATCTCAAAAGCGTTTTATAATTTTCATCTTCTTTAGGGACTCCGGATAGACCTTAGAGAGATTTTCTCCATCGACTGTGGATAACCGGATCGCGGATAACCAAGATCCGCAGTACTCACTACTCACTTCTCCGCGTTAACCATCAATTTAGCGCAATCTCGATTTTCATATTCTTGGTAGACTCCAGATACAGAAGACAAGAGATACAGAGAAATCGTCTTAATCGACCGTGGATAACTGGATCGCGAATAACCAAGATTCCGTAGTATACACTTCTCTACGTTCACAATCAACCAACCGCGATCTGAAAAGCGTTTTATCATTTTCATCATTTGGGTAGACTCCAGATAGACCTTAGAGAGACGTCCCCCGTCTACCGCGGATAACTGGATCGCGAATAGCCAAGATCCGCAGTATTCTTTATTCCCCATCAACTAAACGTAATCTCAAAAGCGTTTCATCATTTTCATCTCGGCGCCAGACTCCATCTCGACCGCGTAATGCGATTGGCTCCCGCGACTCGAAGACGCAGAACTGACGAGACGCCTCGAGGCGTTAAAGCGGAATAAAAACACTCAGATTCGGTGTTTATTCGGGTGTTAATAAAAGGCGCGGAATTATTGATAAGGCTTTTTCTCGGCCATTAAACGCACGTTATTGTGTATCACGAGCGGGGCCCCGGGAGCCCTCCTCGCGCACGCCGTGTGAATAATTAAGTATGCAATTTGTTCGGCAGGCGTGCGAGGCGTGATTCCCTCTCGCCCGGCGCCGGGAACAGGAACACCTCCCGTCCGTCCGGAGACTGCGGCGCTTATTCCGCCGTAGGAAAAACGCCGTATGAACCCTCAGGCGTTGCCAAATCTCCTTCCGTAAAATGTTTAATTCGAAGAAAGTTATGAATATTTTTCCTTGAAATTTTTAGGAACTTTAGGTGAAATTGCGAACATTATCTGAAAAATTGGAAGGAAAATATTCATAGTTTACTATCGTGCTAAGAAAAAACGCCGATTGAACATTCGAGAGTTGCCAAATCTCCCTCCGTAAAATATTTAATTTTGAAGAAAGTTATGGATATTTTTCCTTGATATTTTCAAGAACTTTAGGTGAAATTGCGAACATTATCTGAAAAATTGGAAGAAAAATATTCATAGTTTACTGCCGTGCTAAGGGAAACCGCCGTATGAACATTCGAGAGGTGCCAAATTTCCTCCAATGAAATGTTTATTTCTAAGGAAAGTTATCAATATTTCCCTTTGAAATTCTCAGATAATTTAGATCAAACGACGGAGGAAATTCTTTGAAAGACTAGGCGGAAAATATTTACGAGTTTTCCTGACAATTCGTATTTAATTGATGGAAATTTGGCAACTGACGAAGGTTCATACGGCGTTTTTCCTCAGCACGGCAGTTTAACATTAAATTTGTATTTTATCTAAGGAGACTTGGCAACGCCTGAGGGTTGATACTGCGTTTTTCCTTAGCACGGGAGCGTTCCGCTCCGGTTCCGAGTCGGCACTTGATAAATTTCAACGTAATAAACGGCGGGATATGAGAATATGAGGTGTTGGAGCGGCGGAGCGCGTGAGCATTGAGTGCCAGCCGTGATGTAGCGTTTTTGAAAATGACAGTTGAAGACCCTGCGAGCCGAGTCTCCCGTCTGAGCTACCGTGTTTTCACGTCGTCTTTATTCATTTCTTTTTTAATAACTCCACACTGCATATCCACAGTGGCATTTCCTGACTGAAATTTGGACTTTTTAAATCCAAACGAGCTCTCCCATGCTAAGGAAGAACGCCGTATTAGCCTTCAAACGTTGCTAAATGCCCTTCGATAAAGTGCGAATTTTCAGGGAAATTTGTAAACAGGGTGTTTACAAGTTCGGAATTTCCGGAAAGTTCGGAAATAGTACTGATTTTTTAAGGGCGGTCCAGAAGTACTGAAAAATTGCGAACATTCCGTTAGATGGTTCGAAATTTTCCATTTTTGTCGCAATTTGAGAGGCAAATTCAAATTTTTGAAATTTTTCGAATTTCGTCGAATGGAGGTACTCAATACGTGCTGAATTTTTCCATTGAGGAGGTATTGAATTTCTTAGGAATGTACTGAAAAAGCACTGTAGAAGGACTGATTTTTGGCCAGCAGCCTGTTTTAGTAGACACCCTGGTAAACATTTTCCTTTGAATTTTTCAGAGAATGTTATTCGCGACTATACATCTGAATCATTCGAAAATTTTGAAAGAATTATATTCTTAACTCTCCTCAAAAATGAACATTTTTTCGGACGAAATTTAGCAACTCTCGAATATTCACGCGGCATCCTTCCTTAGCACAACAGAACTATCCTTCGTAGGCCGTGGGCTCTGCGATCCATTACAGTAAATCATGATAGGTCGTGTTTCACAACAGAAATAGTTCCTTGGGATTTAAATGAATCCAGTTTAGAAGGGACAGAATGGATACGAAGATGGTAGGTGGGTTGGACACATTGCTTTTTCGCCTTTAATTTACGAAAAGGGCCAGAAGAAACGTTGAGTGTAATAATAGTTTTCTATTCGAAAACTTTTTTGGGCACAGATTCCCTTCCTCGTAGACAGTGACTCATAAATTGAATCATTTTCTCGATGTTAAACAGAAAAAATTACTCCGGCTTCTTTCCAAGTAGTTCTTTTACTTACAGATCCAGTTAAACTAAACAAGATTAATCTTAAATCTATTTTATGTTACAATTCTGTCCTGCTAAAGAATAGCACCGTTTGAACATTCAAATTTTGCTGAATTTTTTCTGATCAAAATTGATCTTGAATAATGAGAATTTTCTTGCAAATGTATGCATATTTTCCTTTGATTTCTTCCCAGAATTTGTGCTCATTTCAATTTGAATGTTTGATAATTTCAAATAAAAATTGTCATAGCTTTTTTCAAAAATAAATATTTTGCTGGGGAAAAATTGGCAACATTTGAGTGTTCATACGACATGTTTCCTTAGCTCGGCAGAATCCTTCAGTTTAGTTTAAGTAGATTCAAAATCAGCGAATGAAATAAAATCGCAAGAGGTATTCAAAGGTCCACATTTTTGCAAGTTATTAATCTTTTACTTATAATTCTAATGAGTTTTGACTTCAGAAGACAATTTGAGATGTATCTTCTTTTCCGAACATTCATAGAATATTTTCCACATCTTCGAGTTCTTCACTGTTATAGTCTTCATACGCCGCTGGCTCCGGCACAGGAGGATATTGAGCGAAGGGCTCTTGTCCATTCGTTCGCAAATAAAACTGGCCGCGGAGACTGCAAATTCAAAAAACAAATCCAAATTAGTTTAGAAAACAGGGAAACGTCGATCTCAAAAAACATACAGTCATTAAGTGAAACGTTGTTTACAAAATGCAACTGTCTCTTCTGCTGAATTGTGCTTGAATTTCAGCGATATTGCTTTTTCCGGACCCTGTGCTAAAAGCTCCCTTGATTTTATCTATCTATTTATTTTTAAAAACAAACCCAAATCCTGTTGACCTTGTAACAGCAAAAACTCGTACCTCAATTGCTATATTTCAACATTTTAGCCCTTACGTTGTTTTGTGTACAGTTTTCAAAAAACTTCCTTGAGAAGACAAAGAAAGACCACACGAAATGTCCTCAAATAAAAGTGATCAGTTATATTTTAAAGATGCAGTATGTGTGACTACCAAATAGTATCGAACAGTTTATTTTATACAAGGGAACAAGTGGACCGATCTGTTTGAAAGTTCTAAAAAAAAAATTTCCTCTCATAAAGCATATCGACGGTGAAACTACCAAACCACGTATCTCGTTTGCGGTGTTTAAAAATCTACGCTCACATTTTATTTTTTTGAAGTAGACCAAATCAATATCATTCCTTGAAATTTTCACGGAATTTTCTCCGCACAAAGAGGAAAAATCACAGAAATTTTCAAGACTGGATGTTAAGTAGTTTTTCATTTAAAAAATAAAGTATGACAGGAAGTCTGCGACGTCGCAAACCGAGATACGTGGTTTGGTAGTTTCACCGTCGATATCCTCTTAAATTGTCCTACAAATAGATACACTCGTTTTTTCGTAAGAAAAAATGAACTGTTTGCTAAAATTGGCTACATCTGATGTGACTGATAGACTCTCTCAGTGGGGAGGTGTGAATGATCGATTATCGATATTTCTCCATTTGAAGCTATGGTGAAGAATCGATTATTAAGGTGTTCGCTGCGAACACCCTGTTTATCGATCCTTTCCTATAGGTTTAAATGGCAATTCAATCGATGTATCGCAAAGCACGCCACGCCTTTGGACGCTCTTTCCGAGTAACACTGTCTAACCACTATCATGCACCACCCTCCGGTGATCAGCCACCCCGGAAGCTATACTAGACGCTAGTCGCCCAAGCCCGGACTCCCGGAGGCAGGGAGTCGAAGGAGGAACCACTTACTTGGGATTAGCGGCGAATCCCATAACAGCGGGCGCGGATCGGGCAGTCCCCGTCCCGGTGCCGTCGAAGCCGATCTCACTGATGCAGAGCCCTTTTACGAAACTCACTTCCGTGCATTTGATTGCTCTGAACCCGTAGGGATTCCGCACCGACTCCGCGTAGTAGCGCCACGCGCGGTTGTGACTGCATGCCACTGAAATCACACCAACATCCTCGTTAGTCACGCGCCATGATTCGGAGATGTCCGTGTTGCATATTCATAAAAACGAAGGGGCGCTTTGATAATAACGCTTAGATGCCTCTGATCGTGCTTTGCAAGTGTCAGTGTTGTTTGTACAACACAGTTGTACAACAGGCAGTTTGAAACTGCCTGAGTTGCACACTCTCTCCTCTTAGTTTTGTACTGGTACTCATTAGAGCTCATTAATTTTTACTTTAAATGAAATTTTTGAGCTTTTTGGCTTTGTTTTCCTTGGAAAGTAGTGTGGAGCCAGCACTTTTTTACCACCTTGTTACATACAGTTCCGGCCACGTTTCTAGTATTTTTATTTCTTATTATTTAGTACAAATTTTAAAAAAATACACCAACAACTTGTCTCAAAAACTAGGTGGTAAAACAGTGCTGGATTCACACTATTTTGCGTAGAAACAAAGACCAAAAAATTCCACGAGGGTCAAAAATTTGAACTCTAATGAGTATCCATACAAGACTAAAAGGGGTGGACCTATAGCACCATTTTATCACCTTGTTACATACAGTTCGGGCCACATTTTTGTGTTCTTTCCTGCTTATCTCAAACATAAATATTTTATCGGAGAAAATTTGACAACATTCCACCGCTATAATGCGGTGTTTTTCCTTAACACGGCATCATTCTTACAAGGAAAAAGAGGAAAGGAAATCTAACGTTCTTACAACTGTTAAGCACGACGGAAAAGACGGAAACGGGTCCTCCAGTGGACAGCATACAGCAAAAAGGAACTAACATTTCCGGCTCATCTCTGAAAGAACCTATCTGCATAAAGAACTCATATAGACGTACGCTGTTTACGGAACAATACTACAGAGTTAGTTTCTTTTTGTGTGATATTGTCCGAGTGATAACCCTCTGGGATTTCGTGGAAACTTTGACTACCATATTCCGACTTCGTTCAGACTATATTCAACGAAATAAACCGTCCGTGAATGGGAATAGCAGGGATTCTCATGGATGAGTCAACGGCAATCGCAGTCACGGATTGAAACGCTGCAGAGAGGCAAAACGGAAGAGGAAATAAGAGTAACATTTTATACCTCCGACGAAGAAAAATTGACTGTTAATGTACGCAAAAATCTAAAAATGCATACAGGTTCATCCAAAAATCTTAGGGCACCCCTGTAACATTAGAATGAATGGAGAATGAATTGACAAATATTTTGTTTGTCTCTCGTCGCTCAAAAAGTCAACCATAGTAAAAAAATGAATGTTGAAAAAAATAAAGAAAAAAAAAGGAAGAAACCCGGAAAGTTATTTCTTACGTATTTGTAACCCATAAAACGTTTTTGTTTGTTAAGTGTTACTCGTAGGACGGAATAGTTTCAAGAACACGTGACGAATTCCAGACGAAACTCAGAACCAATCCTCTGTTCTCGCGTTAATCTTCATTTTCAAATGTATGCATACGACTTATCATATTCTCTCTTCATCCTCACGTTGAACAGTGACTGAATGTAAAAATCGCATCCAATGTAATGAGGCCGATAACCCAGTGGCGATTTTGCAAGTGGCAGCACTGACTGTATTTTCTCCATGTAAATCCATTAAAAATATCGATCTTACGTGAGGCAAGCTGCTTTACCAAGAATCGATTGTTTTACATGCATTTAAATGGAGGAAAACAGTGTTACCAAATTTCAAGAATCGCCACAGCGATCATCAAACCTTCACCGACTAAATTAAAAAGTTATCAACCTAACCTATCGGGTAAGTTTTCCGTGATGAGCAGTAAATTATACGCCAGCGATACAGCACTTTCACAACCTTCAATCTGAACCAAACTTTAGATTAAAAGGTTGATCAACCAGGTTTGTTGAGGGATGTTTGACTTTTCATCCTGATTTCCGCGTTTCGCCGAGAAAACAAGAGAATAATGAAAGAGGTCGACTGGTGATGGTCTCTCGAAAATAGTTGTGGAAAATCGTGAATTTTCGGCCCGGTGTGGATCGTCGAACGTTGATTGAACTTTCGCGGAACTAGTTTGCCAAACCAGATTTAACTTATCCATTGGTAGTTCGATGAAGTGGCGCCGTTTGATGAACCGCGGGGAGGAATTTGGCCGTTTGGATCCGGCCTTAGAGTATTTCGAAACAGTAATTCATGATACAAAAGACGTTGTGCACCTACCTACATGCATAATTAGTTTCAAAGAAAATTAAAACTTATTGCAGGTTCACCTGTGAAAGAATGGTCGCACACTGGCGGCATTCTTGCCTGGGAAATAAAATATCATTTAGTAAAAAGAAGAAGTAAGGGGCTCCGAGGACAAGGCGCATAAGTGCAGTTTTTGCTATTTCGTGAAAAACGTGCTTCAAGTTCTTTAATTATATGAAGCCGTATGGTACAAAGAGAGTTCAAACTCACATTTTCTTAAACATTGGATTTTACCAGTTTTTTCACAGACATTATTAAAAACCTACATTTAGTTGGAATCTCTAATGTGTCAATTTTTTCAAAAACTGCACTTATGCTCCTTGTCCTCCAAGCCCCTTAATTGTAGAAGAGGAATTGAAAGCTCTCTGCCGTTTGGAATCCTCCCTGTAAAGCCCGCCGGTGGCGTCGCGCCGCGAGCCGTGACATGACGTGGGCCGTTGGTGAAGTGTTAAGTGCCCGCGGACAGTCGAAACGCCTTCACTCTCGTGCGTATGCAACACGGACGTCCATAGAGTTCGAATAGTTGCATCCAGGACTCCAAAAGTTAAAATGAGTGTTCGTCGCATTCGCATTTGACCCTGATTAAAGGCGCTTTCCTTCTTTTTCTTGCACCGTACCTCAATTCCAGCGTTGCCAATTGATTTTATTTGCGATATTATCAATTTTTCGAATACTATACATTGATTGTTGAATTTATAACAATGTTGCCGTCCTATAATGTGGGTTGCAAACCCCTAAGATTGGTCCCCTCTTTGATCTAAGAACGACAATGTGGCAAAGTCAATTTATGATTGATTAATGTAAAATCTGAGCGCGGATCTCAATATTTTTAGAATAAATATAAATCATACATTATGTGTAATCATTATAAATCATACTTATTGTGAGAATTAAATGCGCAGCTTTTACGAACGCTTAAAGCGGCCAATGATTTCTAAAAAATCTGAGCTAAAAAAGCACTTTTGGTTGCACCGTCGCATAATACGTTCAAACCTCACGTTCTCAAAGCGCCTCCTCAAAGCTGTACTTTTCCCCCACGCACCCGTTAAACTCCGGAAATAGCCGGAAAAAGCCTCAAAGGGACAAAAGGAACGACAAAAGGTTTCATTGCCTATTATACTTACAAGCGTGGCTCTGTCGAAACGCCATCACAAATTACGAGGAAGGCCGTTCAAGCAATGCCTCGCCAAACACCGAACGCTAACAAGCCCCTTGAATTGTATTCCAATAGCGCCCCTCAAGTCTCGTCTTAAGCGACGAAAACGTTTTTTCGGGCGATTTTCGCTCAAAAGGATTGAATGATGCTCGCCGGGATTACAAAGGGGACGAAAGGGGGATGAGTTGATAGCCCAGAGCACGGAATGCTAACGATTCGGGGTCCTCAGAACGGGCGACGGTATGCTAAATTATTTATTGCTGTTCTGCCGTGCTAAGAAAAAATGCCGTAAGGACCTGCGAACGTTGCTAAATCTACTTTGGTGTTTTAAGACTGTCCACCGGAAAAGACACTCTCGTTCGTAAAAACTCAAATTTAATAGACTTGGTTAATAGATTCTTTGAAATGTATGATCAATTCTCTGTACTTTAGTTTCTAACTGAAGCTTCAACTGGATTCCTGATCTTTCTAATTTTATTTTTGGGTATTACTGAATCCTGATGTTTAAAGTCTTCTTTTGTTTTATTTTCTCACTGGTTTTTTTCTCTTTTTTTGTTGAGGACATCCGGTGAGTTAAAGAGGCCTCAAAAATCTACTGAGCACCTCAAGAAGATGTAAAAGTATTTTTTAAATATAAGTGCGTAACATTTCTCTTCTATTTGAAATAAGGTTTCTCTCGATTTTTTGGTAATAACAGCTCAAAATTGCCAATATGATGTTTCAATAATCAAAAGTTTCCTGGGTTCCGAGTAAGGGTGGGCAGAGTCATTGGATTTTAAAGCAACTTTTGATCCTTTATTTGCGCAAAAATGAAAGCATCCAATTCACAAGTATTCTCATGGACTATGGAGAATTAGCAGTTGGAAATTTTAATCCATTTTTTCAACCTGTATCTCAACGAAAATAGATCTTTTAAAAATTGTCACCGTGGACAGTCACACAATCATACGAATTTTTTGGAAATTTTTTAAGCTTTATCTCCGAGTTTATGAAAGAATCCTCTGTTGCAAACCTGAATGAATCCCAAAACTTTCTTTCTAGTTCAGTTCAGCGAAGTATTTCATTGAAAAACCTAATCGTATTTCTAGGCTCGGCAGGCAAATAAATAATGACATGCGAGTGGGTCAGTACTCGATTCCAAAAATAGTCTATCAGAAGAAATTTGGCAGTACTTAAAAGCCTATTCTACGTTCTTCCTTACCGCGGAGGGATTACGTCGTTCTGAGGGAGCACCAAGTAATTCCAATCAGAACCCTTTGAAGATCCGCTGTTATTAATGACCACTGCCAGCCTTAACTAGTGACTCCCCAAATGTCCATTCGATTGTGAATGAATCGATTTTTTTCAATGGTTCACGTGGCGGCGATACACTCTTAGCGCCCACTCGAACTCTCGATACTTATGTTGGTTCCTTATGGGCGATATTGACGTGCCTATATTGGTCGTTGTTGGTCGTTGTGACCGTGGTACGGTTCTCGGGGGAAAGGGGTGGGAGAGAGAAACAGATTAAGAGTATACTGTAAGAAGCACCTAAAGTGCGTAAGCTTGAAACTGTCGAACGTCCAAATTTACGAGGCTTAATATCCGTCGCAGATTCCTTTTAGCATGTCTCATACACTTCTATCACTGAAAAATATTATCATCCCTTCAACTTTTTTATCTGCTTAATTTATGTAGTGTTCTCTCATGACTGAGCTATTTTATAGTAATTTCTATATTAGTTACCGGACGGATATTGCCATTTTTTGAAATCTGTTTTATTTTTCTAATACTAAATTCATGAATATCCTTAGAATGTCTGTCCATACAGTACTATATTTCACCTTAATAGGCTGGCAAGAATGCAAGATATTCATACAATGTTTGATTGAAAAGTGTTATTTTTGAAATGATGCCCAAACCACCTACGTATTCAAGTTACCCCAGGTTTTGACATGAGATTTCTCCAATGCACTGTTAAAAATTTTGGTTCTCAATGTCACTCGTGTCTCGCTGGATGGTTTACGGGTGTAATATTTCCAACTTCAGCTGCTATAAAATCCAGCAAACTCCCCAACCAATCAGGACATGGAGCAATATTTCTGATGTTAAAGGGCGGAGATGGCATTACATTACTCTCCTTATGTACCTACTCTTCTTTAATAAACTCATTCTTGAATTCCTTTCCCATTTTTCTAGAGTACCTGTATTGCGAGAGTATGGACATATCGCTTCATGGAGGGCTCAGGGCCCAAAAGTGCAGCCACCCTTCTAACCAACTTCTAACGCACAAAATTTCACCGCCAGTCTGTAGATTCCATCCAATTCTAACGAAGATGGCTAAGAAAGTACATAAATGAGCGTTCTTTCACAAAAATGAGTAAATTTATGCAAAAACTTAGTCAAATACGTGCTTTATAAACGATGGTTCGTAACAATTGTATTAATAAATCGCTCTGGATAATTGAAATTCATAGATTGGCTGCATTTCTGGGCCCTAACTTTATTCGCGGAGGCATCGGTGAAGGCCTGACGGATTTTTAGAGTTTCTTATCTGTCTATACTCTCGCTATACAGGTACTCTAATAAAATCCAGCAAACTCCCCAACCAATCAGGACATGGAGCAATATCTCTAATGTTAAAGGGCTGAGATGCCATTACATTACTCTCCTTACGTACCTACTCTTCTTTAATAAACTTATTCTTGAATTCCTTTCCCATTTTTCCTCCCTCAATCCGCCTAACACAACAATCGGTGTAAAGCTAAGTCTGTCATGGAGGTATACGCGTAATAGAGATGACTCAAAATGAAACGACCTAAGTTGGAATAAATGAAACGGACAACCACGGTTAGGTCTGATGGATGTTTCGGAGGGTGAGAAAAAGGAGGTCTCGGTCCCTTCCGTGGGGGTCCGGGGGGCGGGGGGGGGGCGGCGAGAGCGAAGGAAAGGTGGAGGAACTGTTTCCCGCTTGCGTGTTTGATGTGTTTCTCTGACCATGCTTTCATCCCCTCGCCCGCCTCTCATCCATTACCCACACCCTATTCGTGTAGCTCCCTCGCCGTTCGCCGTGCATCACATATTGAGTTCCCGCCGGGAGAAAGTTGTTTCCAATCAATTTGAGCCTGGAAATCATTCGATCCACCTCTCCCGGAGTCAAATCTCCCTCGCGAAAGTTGTCTGTTTCACGGTGAAAGCTCAAACATTCTTTCTCTCCAAGCTGCCGGACCCTATGTTGATTAACTCTTTTCGACTTTGCTCGTCCGCTCGTATTGGTGGAAGGAGAATCGGACTACATTATACAATGAGGGAATAATGTTTCGGGCCCGGTTGAGAAACAACGCACGTGTCATTAGTTTTCATATGCAGATAGAAGATTGTATGGATGAGCTTGAAATCGTAGCGCCTTACTAAAAAATGTAGTCCAATTAAAGAACAGAGTTTTGTATACGTTGTACTCGGGTTAAAGCTCCTCTCTTGATTTTGATTACTTTTAAACTTGATAATGAAATGAGCTTAATTTTAAGAAAAATACATTGAATGTTCTAAGCGGCCATTTTTGGGATAAAATCGTCGGACTAAGATGCAAATTAAATCTTCCATAAGGGACAAAAATGAACTGAACGTCTCTCAACTAACTCTTTGGGATGCTTTGGAAAAAAAACACTTTGGATCTAGAGTCCAGACTCTTAAAAACATCGACAAGAAAAAATACTCTTTATTCAATAGGATTTTTGCTTAAATCAAGAACCAAGCCTCTTAATTTGAGCGGATCTCCTTTTGATTTAAGCTTAAATCTGATTGAATCAAGAATATTTTTCGTGTCAATATTTTCAAGAGTCTGGACTCTAAATCCAATGTGTTTTTTTCTAGTGGATCTTTGAAAGTGAGTTTCGTAAAATTTCGAATTCCTTGTCTGAGCTTCACATAGGTCGCTTTCCTGAAAAATTGGACTGCTACGGCCGCTTATGGAGAGCGATCAAATTTGGACTTCATTTTGCAATATTAGGTACTGCAATTTCTGACTCATCCGTGAAAACACTTATGAACACAGGAAAACCAATGGAGCTTACGTTGTTTCTGATTTTAGCCAAAACTTGTAGTTCCGCATTGCAAGATGTAGTCATTTCGTGTCTAATTTTCTACTTGAATTTCTAGCTGTTATGAGCTTGAGCGTTAAGTTTGACGTTTGAGACTTACCGACGGAGGGTCGAATATTGAAATGGAAAATGGCTAGTTGTCTTTTGGAAGACATCTTGGCACACCCTGGCTGCGGAGGGATCCCGCCGTTGGGATAAAAGTCTGCGTGGCCCATCGGGGTCGGGAACCCGAAAACGGCTCCGTCCGTGTGTATGACGTCAACAAAAGAGGCGTCCGATGCGGCCAAACGGCCCCTCGCCCCCTGAAAATAGTACAGCGGGAACGCTGGATCCAGGCCTGCAAAAAAATAAAATAATTAATAAATGATAAAAATTTGACTTGAACATATATCATCTCCCAATATAAAAAGAATGATAGTGTATTCAGGTCAAGGTCGCACTGAGGCCAAAAAACATAGTGATGCCCAAAGTGCGAAACCACGTATTTCCATTTGTAACATTGCAGTCTTCCTATTTTACTCTATTTTTTGGTGGTTAACTAGTCAACTGAATTTCTTGAAAACTTCCTCGAATTTTCTTCTCTGCTAGTCGCACATTCCATTTAAATTTCAAGCTACAAAGTAAATTTATTCCTCTTCGAACAAATAAACTAGGAGCGGATATTTTCAAGCACCGCATTGGAGATACGTGGTTTCGCACATTAGCCATACGTATTATGGGCGACTTAGTTACGATGTCTAGACTCCGAGGACACGTAACACTATGACAGCGTTTCAAAATATCCGTTCTCATCATTCTTTTTATAGTTTGTTCTTTTCAAATTAACGCATATAATCGCATGCAGTGTTTATGGAATGATCGTGACAGGGGAAGAATAATCTGAGAAAATTTGAGAAAACAATAATGCGCTGCTTTTCTTCTCTAGAATAAAATACGAGAATTTGAGACTTTTGAGATACGTGCCCTCAGATTTTAGCCATCCATTAGTTTTTAAAGTGCTGTAACATAAAAATGTGACTGCAATGTGACCAACAAAATGAACAGCGTTTTGAGTATGCAACTTTACGCGCACATGAGAACGCGTTGAGTATCATAGCAAAATGAAGGGGATTTTTAAGGTAGTCAGAGCTGCAGCGTGCTGCCAGCGCAAAACGCGCACTGACGCCTACAAACCTACAGGGCCACTTCACGCATTGCGCAATGCTTGAAGTATCCCCTTAGGTTTGTAGGCGCCAATGCGCGTTTCGAGCTGGCAGCACGCCGCGCGCGGCCGTGACGTAGCTTGCCATAAACTTGCCCACATTTAATAGGGCAGGGTGTTAAATTCTCGGCAATTTGACATCAAATTCCAAATCAGCAAACTCAAAAATCATCAGTGTCGAAACCCTCGTGATTTTTCAGTCATTAACCGCCTTATTTCTTCCTATTTTTGAGTTCTGGACCGTAATGGAGCGTTAGCGAATGCGATGCATTGGACGCTGTAAATATTGACGAGCAAATGTTTATGTCTGATATCAAGTATCACATGGTCTTTGTTACATTATAGCAATTTTCTACTTAGCTAACAATTCAAAGTTAGAACTTCGAAATGCAGTTATTCTTTCACTTGACTCCACAGTGAAGCCCAGCAGTGCCGAGACATGAATGGTCGATTATCGATGCTCCCCCCATTTTAAGGCATGGTAAAGAATCGATTATGAAGGTGTTCATTGAGACACCCTATCGGCCAATCGATCTTTTTCCATAGGTTTAAATGACAGATTAATCTACGTATACATCGTAAAGCACGCCGCGCTACTGAAACCTAGAGTCCCTTTATACTGAGAGTCAAGACAATTAGAATCCGTTTCTGATTGTTTCCCGTATTTTAGGCCTTCACAGTGTCACAAACGGGAATGAAGATTACATTTTCACCGATTGCAAAGACTATAGTCTGGAATGGACCAAGGAATCGCGGGTTCGGCAAGGAACAAACGGAATGAGAGAAGGAACGGAGGAAGGAATTTGAGAATGGGCCAATCAAAGATTACAAAAAAAACTATCAAGTTGTGTTATCTTTTTTCCCGTTTGTGACTCCATGAGGGGGTGTTGTCCTGACCCTCAGTATAAAGGGACTCTACTGAAACCCAGCGCTCCATCTTGCCAGATGGCGGGTTTCATAAGCAAGGCACCATTTTTTCGAATATGCGAGTAGTCTTGATTTTCATTTTTGCGCGGTATAAGGTCACGATAAACAGTAATGCTGTTTTATCGACTTCGATGTGCAGATGTAATATTTCATTTTCCTTTTATCGCAATCAACAATGAAAGAAAAAAAAAAACTCCGTTGCCTCCTGTACCGCGTCGAGCGGGCCGAGCCGTGCCAGTGCCATCGCTACGAAAGATCTCGACGGAAATATTTTAGCGAGGCACTCAGAGCTGATTCAGACTCTGCAAGGAGTATTTCATTCCTCATCGATTCGAAATATCTTTTAGTTGCACTCGGCGACGGGAATTATGAATGTGCTGAAAGGAAGCTTTCAGAGGGCGTGGGAGGTGGAGGAAAGTTCACTAATTGGCCCACAATTCAAAGACTTTCATTAATTAATTTTACCCGTGCTTACCTCAAAATAATACTTTTCTTCTCATCTCGGTTTTTGCTGAAGATTCTTCGTCTCGTGACGCGGCAACCTATCATTTGAGTTTATATTAAGCCCTCTGATTTTTTTAACGAGTTGGTGTCTCTTACATTTAAACTTCTTTTTCATGTTATTATACTGCTTTTTCTTTTCTTTTCTATATGTTTTCCTAACATTTCAATCAGTGTTCGAAACTCACAGGTGCCAACGCGCCAAATGCGTTTAAAAAAATCGGCCATGGCGCCTAAAAAATGAAGGCTCTGCGTCAACGTGGCCCCTAAAAATCTGGATTTTCACAGGAAGTCACACAAAGAAAGAAAAACAAATCTATTTGAACTGAAAAAACTCGGAATTTTCAGCACTACAAGTAAAAGCTTGCTTTTTCTATTCTTCATGATTTCATTCTTAGTGCTTTTGTCTTCCCCAAGTTACAGATACTTAATAGTTCTGTTACAAAAACATCTTGCGTCTAACTTTTCACTAAATAAGCCGTAATATGTAGGCAAAAAGTCAATCTGGCGCCTAAAAAATCTTCAATGGCGCCTAAGAATCGGGCTTGATGCGCCACATATGGCTCCTAAAACACAAAGGTGAGTTTCGAACACTGATTTCAATCGTATCACAGATAAAAAATCTGAGGAAAATGAGATTTTTCCTCAAATTATTCTTAATTTTATCACCTCCTCTGATGTAAGTGTGTAACAGCACTTTGATTGAATCCTATCATCCGTATCACCTCCACACTTTCCACGGCTCATGATAACATTATAAGATACGCAAAGACGAGGCTTAAACGATCGATTATCGATAATTCCCCATTTGAAACTACAGTAAAGATTCGATTATTGAGGTGTTCGTTGCGAACACCCTGTTTATTGATCCTCTTCCATAGGTTTAAATGGCAGCAGATCAATCGATAAATCTCAAAGCATGCCACGCCATTGAAGATACGCCCTTGCGTCAGAAAAGCAACGAATTTTCTTCAACCGCTCTCAGAAGAAGCCTCCTTCATTTCACTCACCTCGACCTCGAAGTGGGAGATGAGGGGATGCTGTTCCGAACCATGAATACATCTCTATCTTTCGAAAATTGGGCTCATATCAATTTTGACCCCGTGTCATCATCCCCCTTCTGTCACACAATCAACAAGAGCGAATTTAGGCAAGCTTATTTCCTCGGAACTGGAATACTTCCGTGTTTGAGAAAAAACGCCGTACGGCCCTTCAAATGCTGCCAAATTTCGCCCGATCAAATATTTAATTTTGAGGAATTACTCGTATTTTCCCCGAAGATCCATATCGGAGTGCTTATATACGAGAGTATAGGAACACGTTGAAAGAGGGAGCTCTCAGGGCCCAAAAGGGCAGCCAACCTTCTAACACGAAAAATGTCACTGCTAATATTCAGATTCTATACTATAGCGACATGGCGAAAAGTGTTCGTAAGGAGTGTTCATCCGCAAAAATGAGTAAATTTATGCAAAAAAATTACTCAAATACGTGCTTTACAAACGACGGGTCGAGACAATTTTGAAAATAATTCACTCTGGATAATTTGGACTGGATTTTGCAATTTGGAACTATAACTTCTTGCCCGGTTTAAAAACAACGTATGTGCCATTAGTTTCCCTATGCACATGCCTGTTTTTTCAAATGAGACGGAATTTATAGCTCCAAATTGCAAAATCCAGTCCATTTGAAGGTAGGCTGCCCTTTTTGGCCTCAGGAGCTCTATCACCTAAGCTCAGAATTACCGATATGTCCGTACTATCCCTGTAAGGGTACTCTAATTCATTCATAGATTAGCTTGGTTAAATTACGAATTATACTCTCCGTAAATTGCGAGGAAGAATATTAGTAATTTGTAAGAAAATTCGTATTTTAACGAAGGAAATTCGGCAACACCCGAAGGTTTTTAGGGTGTTTTTTCTTAGGAGAAGGGTCGATGTCAAGCCCCGCGCGGATGGGAAAAGCGTGCGTGAAGCGTGCGGCTCGGAATGAAACTCGAGCGATCACATGCCGAGAGACTTTGAATGACTCTTGATGAGCGAAATAGCTCCTCGACGTTCCTGCCGAGCACCCGTCAATCCTTCATTCGTTCCGCTATTATCTCGTAATATCAGAATCACAGGCATGAAGATATAGGTTAATGTATTATTCCTTGCCACCGTGCCTCCCCCCCCCCCCCCCCCCACCTCTGCTCCGGGAAGGAGAAAGCTCACTTGAAAAATGCCTCGAAATGATCATTGATCGAGCGCACGAGGTCTGACTACGCGTGGAGCACGGCCGCCCCGCGCACGGTAGGCAACAAGCCGGGTATCTTGTGCTTAATTGAGGGGCTTGGACGACAAGGCGCATAAGTGCAGTTTTTTAAACAAATGCGGTTTCCTGAACTGAACTAAAATTAGTGCGAGAGTAGACTCTGTGAAAAATTTACAATTGAATCCAACTTAATAGCATAAAAAAGTGAGTTTAAACTTCCTTTCTGCTATAAAGCTTTTTGTAATTTTGAAGCTTTAAACACTCATTTCTTGAAATAGCATAAATTGTACGTATGCGTTTTGTCCTCCAAGCCCCTCAAACGATCAGTTTGTGAAAAACAGCGTATAAACGTGTTTTTTCACAAAAGAGACTCAGGCAACTGAAGAGACTTTTTATGGGTTAAATTAAGTTCTTCCGGGATTCGTGATTAAAATATATTTTTTCTCTTGTAAAATTTCACTAAAAACTAGGTGGAGCCATAGGTTTTCCCTGTAATCAACTCCTAAACTCAAGAGGAACACGAATTCATTAGACCACCAGGACACCCGTCTCAGCGTCTCATCCTCAGACGTCTGAGAGTGACCTACTGTTTCGGTCGATTAAACCAACACATTCGTCGATCAACCAAGTCCTCACGGTTGATATGACTGAAAAGAAAGTAATTCAGAGTAACCCAAAATAACCTGGTCACGCCAACAATAAAAACGCCTTCAAGGGGATGAGTATGCAATAGATACTTCGATAGATACGTGTCGGTAAGCATAACATTCCGGTAGTAGCAATTGCCGCGCACAATATTGAAGGCAAATTGAAAATAACCAGAAAATTTCAAAGCGATTAGAAAAAAACTTATCGTTCGGCTTTCGTGGGTAAAGGACAATTTTTTTTGTGAGATTTCAGTGCACTGGACATTTTATTCAAATATTTTCTTGATATTTTGGGAAGAATTAAGATCCAATCTATCCCTAAATTATAAAACGCACCTTTTCGGCATTTTTGGCCCCTACCCTCCCTCCCCCGTCGTAACGTTTTAGTGACGTAGATCCCTTAAAAGATCCTTTAAAATGGATGTTCGAAATGGCGTAACGCTTTCCTCGACCCCCCCCCCCTTTAGAGCGTTATGTAATGTAGGAACGGCCCCTGAACACGGAAATTTTTAACTGTGTTTGAGGTGTAAATTCATATGAGGTGGAAAATTATTTTCCTGTCCCGTTGCCTCGCTTTCCCGCTCACCGTGCGCCGTGGTGTGGTGTCAGGGGGTGTCATTCCGATTGATACTGCTTATTTTTCACTTTAATTCCTCCGACACGGCCTGCGGGCGAGGGTTGAAAAACTGGCGTCTCGCATTGACCACCCTTCCTCCCCCCCTCCCGGCTGTCTAGCGGTATCAACAATGTTCCCGGTTGTTCTGCCGACAAGCATAAGTTGCAATCCATCTTGTAGATAAATGTCTTCGCGCGCGCCTTAAATTCACACGTGTCAATAGTTCTCCAGGATTCGCGAAACAACCCCCATACCTCCCACCCCTCCTACCCAGCCCGGACCTTAAGAAAGGGCAACGAACTTAATTTCAACCTTTCGCAATGGTGCCAACATCACGAAGAAAAATGTTTGCGGTGGAATTAGTGAATGGAATGCCTCTCAATAATGAAATCGGGTACCTTTTCTCTTCATGGGTTTGTTTTCCAATTAAAGCTCGCCGCTACATGGAACCGGCCGTCAGATACGGGATTTCAGCGTCGGGACTCAAAATTGGACAATAAAGAAACGCAGGTGCAAACTAATTAAATCAAAACGAACTGTGTACTCATGGATGTGCGTGCTTCATAATTCCTTTTTGTGTCAATTTATTGTCTAGCATAAATGCCTACGCAACTGTTTAGATATTTGTTTTACTGAATTTCTTTCTTCCTTGTTGCACACGGAAGAAAGAAAATACAAAACTTATCCAGAGGCATTACAGTTTGAATTGTTATATCTGTGGACCACGGACATACATCATTTGGGGCTGTTCTTTAAAAAAAAAAATGACATACTTACGAGACTTTGTCTATCTGCTATCGACGTATTGATTATTTAGAAATATCAATCCATGTAGATTCTTACGATATTAAACGCACTGAATTTTGCCTCACATCAAAATTTGGACGTAGGAATTCGTTGTCTTCTTTAATCTTTTTTTTTTAAATCCCATGCGTAGAAAAATTTACTCTTGAATGCTTATGCACCCTAACTGAGCTATTCGCTATCAAATACTTTGATACACTCGGGTGGACCGAGATCCATCGTAAAATAGTTTCATCCAAGCACTGCCATTTATGGCCGGAATTACCTATTTGCCGCCCATGGACCGCCTGTATTTTGCCGCCCTCTTCTCATTCCTTTTGAAACATCAATAAAAACCATCAAATGAACGTGCCGGAGGGAGAAGGGAGCATAAGTCGCGTTCACTCGTGTTGGACACATCTTTTGCTTAAGCCCTGTCAACACTACTAGCAAAAGTTCACGGCATTTTGCGCGAAATTTCAGTTCCGTAAACCTATCTCTGTGTGGACAAGGCCTTTCATTTGTAACAAATGAACTAAAAAATTAAGAAAGAACAAACATAAATGTGGTTTAATAATTTTAACTTCCGCCGCCGCCGTGCCGCGCTGACCACACTGTATTTGGCGCAATGCGTGAAGTATTCACGCAGTCTTGTAGGCACTGTGCGTTTCACGCCGCGCCAACCGCGGCTGTTTACCGTACTGTGTTTGACGCAATGCGTGAAGTATTCATGCAGTCTCGTAGGGGCTGATATGTGTTACATGCCGAACGCCGCGCTGAGGGCTTCTCCTTTTCATCTCAAGTCCTCGTCATCATTTCTCTTTGCGCCACGCCGCTCCAGGCCAAATTACGTGTTTGGTTTCTCTCTTAACTCAACTGATTAAAGGCGCGCAGTCTTTTGTATCACCGAAGTACGACAAAATTAGAAATTAATGAACTCTCAGGAAATGAGAGATTTTGTCACCTTTTCTTTTTTCTAATTTAATTCTGAATCCGATTTTTTTGTACCTGCATTTAAAAAAATTGCAAAATTTGCCGTCCCCTAATTTTGCCGCCATGGGCCGCGGCCCATGTGGCCACTCCCTTAATCCGGCCCTGCTGCCATGAAGAAAGTCGAAGCGCCTTCAATTATGCGCACGCAACATGGACATCCCTCGAGCCCGAATCGTTATCATCAAATATCAACACAGCATTGTTATTAACATTCTTTTTACTAAAAGAATCAACCCCAAAAACCTTCAAACCAAATCCCGAGTTTTACAACTATAGGTACGCATAGTCATTAATTTTGAACTCACCTGTAATTCGATAAAGTTTGCCCAAACTCAAACTTTTTCCAACGTAGCCGGCGATCTCAGCGCCGAGGCTGAATCCGATGACGTGAACCCGGTCCAAAGTGATGCTCGTGGTGAGGTGGAGGAACTGGAGAAGATGCGCTATTTTGGCGGCTACAAGGCGGGTGTTGGATACGGCGTGACTGTACCACGGAAACGCACCCAGCGAATTCCAATCTACTACAATCACGTTGAAGTCCCCGCGGCTCATGTATGCTGCAAGACGAATTGATATTATTTAAATTAATAATTAATAAAGTAACAAGGTCTGAAAAAATATTACTAGCTAACTAATTACACAGGCATTGATGACATTTTGAACTAGGCTCAATGTGTTACAGAAGCTGATCACGTATGAGAAAACCCAGGTTCTCTTGGTTTTGCCATTAAAAACTCCTTCAATTTTGTTTATATGCAACATGGACTGTCGAAGAGCAAGTATAGTTGTATCAAGGCGTACCATTCTAGGCGGTGTCCAGGCTACCTATTCTTGAATGAAAATATTGAGAAATCATTAAATGCATATCTTTGTTTGAATTTTTGTCATCAAGAAAGTAAATATATAAGAAAAAACTGAGCTGTTGCAATAGAGCTGTACAGTTTTTGAGAGAAGCGATTATACATTCAATCGGAGATTTTTAGACATAATCAAACCAAAATATTTCAATTCAAAGATTGCCGTTTTTATGGGGGAAAAAAAATACAAATTCTCAACTATAAGCATTGTATAAAATCCTTCCTCAACAGCAAAGACGAAAAAGTAACGGAAGCGGGACATTTCCGCGAGGAGGCTTGATATGGAGGCATTTACACGAGGCTTGGAAGGTTTATTTGCGCGAGGAACATTTCCGCGAATTTAAGCGAGGATGTAATAGATCAAAATGCTTGAAAATACGGGATGTTACAATGTGTAAAATAGATACACCATTTTCGTGGTCAGAGTTCTCGTTGAAAAGTTAAAGACTTGCATTCAGTTCGATGATGAAACACGGGCAGCTTGTTACAAAGAATGTTATTTCTAAATGCATTTCTAGGCATGGGAGGGTTATCAGCAATCGATTGGAAACTGGAACTTACGAAGGGTAAGATGACTAGGGGGTCCGCCTTCTGACCGCTCCACGGCCCAACCCCCGTGCTTCATTTTCTCAATTTATGATGAGCTATCTATCTATACTATAAGCTCCAAGACCTCCTAATTTTGCGAAACTGGTGACGCTTAGTTCCAGCGTTCTACCGGGCCGATTTTCACGATTTTTGCGGCTATCGACGGGCAATTGTCTCTAGATAAGCCAACTCTTTTCAGATTTTCAAAATATGGCCCAGGTTTTTTTATATTACGTGGTAAAGTTGCGAATTCTCCCATTTAAACAATGTAAATTTATACTTTTTGTCATAGTTCGTTTGAGCGTTCTACCGGGCCGATTTCCATGATTTTTGCGTAAATCGACAGGTAATAGGCCCTAGATGAGCCCGCTGCAATTCGATTTTGGAAAAAGGACCCAGGTTTTTTTAAAATCACGTTATAAAATTGAGTGAGTTTACAGAATGCTCCGGTACTGCTACCGCTATGCGCGGGAGGATGCGCAGTGGTCGAGGAGGTTGCGCAGTAGCTGTGTAGCCTGCGCATCAGCTCTACACTTATCTACACAAGATACGCGTCGACGATCACATGACGAGCGGTGGCCGAGTCGTCTAAGACGTCGAATGCCTCCGCTATGAACTCCGTGTGGGTTCGATCCCCGACTCATGAGGCGCTCATTTATTACCGACTATTACTGTTCATTGTTTTACTGCAATAATTCATCAAACAGTCATTCCAAAACGCGTCCTTTTAATTTTAAAGTAATTTTAAGTAAAGTTTGAAATTAAAGTATACCTCATATCGTAATTTTTTAGGGGAAAAATAAAACTAACACTGAAAGGAGGGTAAAAATAGGGCCGCGAAGCGGCCCATTGATGGCGCGGAGCGCCTTCACGGGGTTGGGCCGCGTAGCGGCCAGGGGGCGTAGCCCCCTAGTCTCTAAATGTTTTCTTTGATGCATTGTCAACATGATTTTCAATTTTACTAAATGTTGAATGCAAATTTTCTTCAAGTAGGCAGTCAGTCGGTTCTCTTTTATTTTTCGCTGGACCTCGTGCTTTACCCATAATAATTGTTTCGTTTCCATGAGACCATCCGCGATCTTTTTCCAAGGAATTCACAAGATGCTTCTCAATAGCGCTGATTTTTGTAAACATCTCAGTTCTAATATCTGTTCGTTTGAACCTGTATATTGTTGCCAACTTTCTTCATAATTGCTGCATTTTTAATATTTCACTCGAAAGGGCCGTCTCCTCATTCGCGGAAATAGGTTTCATATTTGTCCCATTTGCACCGGTGTCTCGCAAATGGGTTACCACGAAATAACAGCGTGATTTTAATACCTAAATTACAGTGGTTTTGTGGCTTTTTTAATCAGTCGGCCCGCAAATGTTTTTATGCATCTGATGAAATTTTAATTTCAGTTTGAGCCCGCAAATCGCTTCGCTGAAGCGACGAATAATGCACCGACGGCAGGAATATTTTGTCTCTCATCGAATGAAGACAAAAGGGATGAAGCCACGGTCGGTGGATCAAATTCAGTATGAAAATGGAGCCGAAAAGTAGTTCATGCACTAAAAGCTCGGTGCGTTAGTTTTGCTCTCCGCTGACCCCATTCGCGATTGACGACGGTTTCCCGGGAGGAAAACCCGGCGTTGCCACGTTCGTGGAAAAGTATCTTATTTTCCATCGCTGCTCTGGATGGAATCCGAAAGCTTTTCCGCAATTCGATACATGATTCATACGCTTATCCTGAAAAATCTGCACACTCACTCGTTTATTTCGATATGAAATGAATTATTCACTCCGACATGTACCCAACTCAGATACAACAAACATTCCATTTTATTGCATGAAAAAGGTTTTAATGGCTGACACGAATATTTTATTCCACATTTTATTTTTATTTATTCTTTTTTCTTTCATTTTACATTGTAAAATTAGAAATTCCGTTCTTTCCAAGAAGCCTTCAACCCCAAAGTTTGAAAATGTTCAAATTCCACCAACAATGTTCAAAAATGTTCATATTGCACCAACATATCAATCAAAATGTCTAATTTTTGACGACGGGATCTTTTTTGGAAACTAAATGACAACCCCCATAAAAATGTTCAATTCGTCAAGAAAAATTCGCGCAGTCTATCCCGGAACGGTGCACTTTTCGAAACAAACTATTCAAATGTGACAGGCCGCACTGGAAGACGAGAAAAGGGACCTCAGCTTGCAAAAATTTAAAATTGAGTTATTTACTAGCGGAACATAGAAACTCACCAGGGGGCACAGCAGGACACCACGTATCTTGGTTCACGAAATTGCAAAGCTGAATAGTTTTAAAGAGAATTGGTCATCATTATTGATCAAAATTTTGCCCGATTTCCCTTCGCTTTTTCAAAAACATACATTGCAAAAATCACCAGAAAATTATTTTAAAAACGTATGAAGGAAGCGCAAATTTTGGAAAACCGCACTCGAAATCCATAACTCCGTAGTTTCACCGTCATGATATGCATATTTCACAGCACAATCTGACAAGCCTGAACTTCGGTGACGCGAACGGAACGGAGCCCGCGAAAAGAATACGAAATATTTTCATTCAAGAAAAGCGCTGTCGTCGTTGCGCGGCGAGGGCCATAAATAATACTCGATGTTCTACGTCATCTTCTCGTCGCCCCGCTGACGTAAGCGCGTATCCACTCTCCGAGATGAGCTCCTTCGTCCGTATATCTTCATGCATTCCAGGGATCACGACGAAGTAGAGTTACGTCCTTTCACGTCGACGGAGCCACGTTTTCAGGAGCATCCTTGAATTTGTACAGCGCTCTCGTCCCTCTCGTGCGGTTTTGTACAATGAATTATGCTAAAAGGAACTATGCGCATAGGGTTTGCATGGAACATAGTTCCTTTCAGCACAAATGCGTTCAATTCTTTGCCAAGTCGAATTACCAGGTTTTCTTTTTATTGTAACGACTTGACGTGTTAATCTTTAATAGATGGGACTTTGTAAACAGAAAACACACGTCTGTGTTCTAATATATAAATAAATAAAAATGCTATACATGAATGTAATTTGAATGGACTTTTTAATGTTTTTTTTTGGGGGGGGATGACGTCAGTTTTTAATTGTCACGTCAGGATTTTCCGGGAGATCAAAATCCTATCCCTTCAAAAACGGGATTTCGCGGGGAATTCCTTCAGTCGAAGCATCTTTTCCCTTACAAAAGAACGTTACTACATTTCAAAGTTGCCAAATTTCCTCTCGCAAATGGAAATTTTACGAAGAGAATCTTTGGCATTTCTAAATGAAAATAATACTGATTTTTCTACTGAACTGATGCTCACCTCAGGAGCATTTTGGACGAAATTTTCACAGGTTTGTTTTTGTAAAAATTGATTTGTTTGAATTAATATAGCAACCTTGAAAAAGTGTTACGCTCCTTCGTTCGGAAAACGACGAAAGGACTCAATATTGGGGGCTGAAGTGTGAAATCATGTCCTTCCACAGTCCATTTCATACGTTGCAGACTTTCTATTTGGTTCATGGTTTGTTCGTATTTCCTCTCAGTATCACTACTTGTAATTGAATTTGTGATGATATAAACAAGAAAATTTGCAATTTCCTTCAAAAATTTCTTGTAATAACTCGTTCCTGTGAGCCCTTCATACACTACGAGACACTAAATTCCAGAATTTTTTACCCCCTTCGAAACGCTCTCGTGAAGTAGGCCCCCATCGCGCAAAATAAGAATATGTTGTAACGCTCTTGGCCCCCATTCTGCCATGCTAAGGAAGAATGCCGTATAGACATTTGGTAGTCGCCAAATTTCCCCGTAGAAAACATGCACTGTAAAGGAAAATTCTGCATATTTTTCCTTGGAATTTTCAGATATAGATCTAATTGAGGACAATATTGTCCGAAAAATTTGCAGAAAAGTATTCCCGGTAAATTCTTGATTTTTTAAAGGAGATATGGCAATGTCTGAAAGCTCATACGGCGTTTTTCCTTTAGCATGGCACAGGGTGGCATGAAGCGTAAGGAAAAAATAAAAGATTGGAAATTTCAGTGAAATATTTCATGAAATTTCACGAGGCTGCTAAATATTTCATATTTTTCAGGAGCTAGAGTATGCAACCCGCACGTAAACACACAAAAATAGAAGAAAGTCACAATTTTTACATTTTCCGAAACATGAAAAGCCGCGGATATTTTACAATATCATTTATAAATTTATGAAATTTCATGAAATATTTCACGTGAAATTTCAAGATTTTATTTTTCATGAAATTTTGCCGCCCCTATACAGCAGCATTGAGCGTTACGTATACATTGAACGGCCCCTCGGGCAAAAAAGTTGAAAGAATAACTTATTTTCCGGGCCCGCTCATAAAGTTTCGAAAAATCGATACGTTTAGTTCGGTGCCAGTGTACTCCAATTAATCTGTCAATCGGCCGATGCTAGTACACGCGCGCGTGACTGATGGAAAAGCCCCCTCTTGGCACTTATTCCCCGTTGAAAAACTTCCCGTTCGGGCCTCCCGCCGCGCCGAGCCGAGCAATTTTTGCATACGTAACGAGACTCGTCAGCCCTCACGGTCGCCCCCACCCCCTCCTCAACCCCACTACCCCTTCCCCCAACCCCCGGAAAAAGTTGGGGGATGCGCCACTCGGAGCCGGATTCCGCCCGCTTCGGATTTACGACGGAAACATCTGGAGAGGCTTAATTTCATTTGAATAAGGAGCAAGTGGAGGTGAAACTCCGCGTGCTTTGCGATATATCGATTGATCTGCAGTTTAAACCTATGGGAAAGGATCGATAAATGGATGTTCGCAATGGAGATCCTAATAATCGATTCTTTACCGTATCTTCGAATGGGGAAATATCGATAATCGATCATTCGCCGGAAGCTCTCGCCCCGCCGTTGCCGTGTTTTGAGTGGTGGAGTTTACCTTTGCGACATGATAGTCGGAGTTACTGGATAATCAAGGGACAATGTTGCTTTTGATCGTTATCTTCAATGTGGTCCTGAGTACTGAGTATACTTGGGTGCTAAGGAGAAACGTCGCATGAACATTCGAGAGTTGCCAAATTTCCTTTAATATATTTTGATTTGCAAGGAGAAATATGAATGTTTTCTCTTGAAATTTTCAGATGATTTAGATACGATCGTGAATATAATTCTCTAAAAAATTGGCAGAAAAATATTCCCAGATTTCCCCGAGGATTCGTATTTTATCAAAAGAAATTTGGCAACGTCTGAGGTCTTATACGGCGTTTTTCCTTAGCACGGCAGACTTAATATCCATGATACGAGAATACACTGTACAGACTGATTCAGTGGGTACTTAATTCGATGTGCATCTCTGTACACGCTAGGGGTGATGTCATTATAGGGATTCTTTATAATGAAATTGGATTCAACTAATAACAATGACATAACCTCCTTCTATGATACCAATGAGAATAAATCGATTTACATAGCTTTCCCATAACGTATCTCTGACAGCGCTCATATTGATAGTTCGCATGTAAAATAATAAGTAACTGCCGTGCTAAGGAGAAACGCCGTATGAGCCTTCGGTCGTTACAAAATTGCCTCATATGCCTTATGCCTATTGAGGAAATATGAATTTTTAGAGAAACTTTTGGATACTTTTCTCTCGACATTTTCCGGAAAATTGTATTGACAATCCAATCTAAAGTTACTGAACAAAGGAATAAATAAATAAATTAAAAACAAAAAAAAATAAAATGAAAAAAAAAAGATTTAGAGGTTCGGAACTTGAACTGACAGACAAGGCTAATGAAACCTAGTAGTCAGGAGAAAAAAGATCGATAAAAAATAAGAGGGAGAGTAGAAAAGTTAGCTTTGCTTAAAATTTTGGATCCGTAAACTGGGGTTTTTAGTTCCGACGACGATCGCAAATAAATACATAAACCGATAAAAAAGCATAATTTATGATGTGAAAGGAAAATTGCAATTTCATCCAGGGTCCGGGCCCGCCCTTGTTAATTTTTTAGCTCTTTGTCCCTTTACACCAAATTAGCAATCACCTCCATCGAGGAGCAATTCCACCCGAGAAAGGATGTAAAATTCCGAAATAATTTATGAACACCCAGCAGCGCGGCGGCAGTAAATTCCCTCGATTCCCTCCTCCGAAAAGTAGGAAGCTTTATTGTTTTTGGATGAAGTTCATAATAGGACGGGAGGGCCTTTGAAAGTTTCGACATGACCTCGCAAAGGACGTTTATCATCTGGACAATCGTGACATATGATACCGTTACTCAAATCCGAGGACGGGTCAGGGCTGCTCGCTGGTCCCTGAAGATTAATTTTACTTGAAATACACCGTCGGATGCTTGAAAAAGTTTCCGGTGCGTTTAGGGCCGAATAAACGTTTTATAGGTCATTGATTCCTCATAAATCTGCAATTTTTCTCTTCGCCAAGGGACCAACTGTGATGCGATTTGCGAAAAGAGACTTGGTAATTTTTATCGAATGTTGAGGAGGTCCAGGAATATGATTCCTCATAAATCTGTAATTTTTTTCTTCGCCGAGGGATCAACTGTGATGCGATTTGCGAAAGGAGACTTGGTAATTTTTATGAAATGTTCAGGAGGTCCAAAAATTTGATTCTGAGTCGAAATTCTCGTCATTTCGATGTCCGTCGTTCCGTCAACGGGAGAGAATATCTTTTTCCAGAGATTGGTAATTTTTATCAAATGTTCAGGAGGTTCAGAAATATGATTCTCATAAATCTGTAATTTTTTTCTTCCGCAAGAGGGAAACTGTTGCGATTTGCGAAAAGAGACTTGATAATTTTTATCAAATGTTCAGAAGGTCCAAAAATATGATTTTGAGTTAAAATTCTCATCACTTAGGTGTCCGTTGTTCCGTCAATTGGATGGGATAGTATGTCTCTTTCCAGAGATTCGATCACAATTGGACCAGATTTAGCAGAAAGGAACTAAGCCACATCAGCTATTCCCAAATTTAACTGGGCAATTTAAGTTTCTACAAGAGAGCGTTTGTACGCATTTCTTTGAAAATTTGCCAGAATTTGCTTTGTATTTTGCAGAACATTCACTGAAATTTGCACAAAAATCCGCCGTTTTTATGTAAAAAATCGAATCGCTCAATCAAATTTAGCAATGGCTGATGTAGCTTGGTTCCTTTCTGCTTGACGCGGTCCAATTTGTTTTACCCATTAATTAAACGTTCACAAAAGCCCCCATGCTGAATTGTATGCATTATAGACATATTTATAAACTTAATGAAACTTTGTGCATAAGGTTTGCGTGCGGAACTTAGTTCCTTTCAGCATAAATACGCGCAACAAAATAAACCAATTACCATTTTTGATGGCCATCGCGGATGGTCCCGTTCCTTGTTCGCTGAAGCCATGAATGTAAATGACAGTCGGGTCCCGCTCGTCCAAATTCGACTGGCTCAGGATCCCTTGATCCCCTATTCTCAGCAACTGAGGATTGACCGCATTTTTTCTAAGATAGAACATAAGTTATTCTTGTTTCATTAGTAGCTCTTTATATTATGAATAAATACAGTATATCATAATAAATATATCCTCGTAAATTGCGCACAGTGGAATGAGCGTAAGGTAGAAGTCGGACTTGAGATATTTTACTTAATCTACGAATTTTGATGTTTATGCAGCTCAATAATATACATTGAAGAGTACTTTTTGATCAAATTTAACGAGAAAATCAATGATATTAGTCTAAAACTTCTACGTTTCGTCTTAACGAAGCTATTAGCTTTCAAAGTCTCTTTATCTCATCCGACATTAAGTTTTTAACAGAAGAAAATATACGCCCAGTATAGTAAAATATGTACTATAAAATAAATCAGCACCTCATCCGATATTTTTTTCCTAAAATTTTGGATAGATTTCCTTTTGCGTCGCTCGGTTCAATTCGTCGCTATCCAGAAGGAAGAACTTACCTTCATTTCAACTTGCAAAATTTCTAATACTCCTATAGTTGCTTAATATGCTGGAGCGCCTACAATTTCGTATGATACTGTGCAACACTTCTGTTGTGAAATAGTTGCTCGAGGCGCAGCGCCGTGGCATGCGGGCGGCCAGCGAGCATTGGCGCCTACAAACCTAAGGGGATACTTCAAGCATTGAGCGATGCGTGAAGTATTCCCTTAGGTTTGTAGGCGCCTGTGCGCGTTTCGTACCGGCAGCAAGCCGCTCCGCTCTGAGTTAGGCTCTGATATTTAAACTCCTGCTAAAAAATGTTGAAAATTTTGAACTGAAAATTTCACCCATATTTCCCTTGGTTACACGTGAAAATCGGCAACATTTTACAAAAATCACTCAGTTATTCTCCTGAAAAAAATTGATTTGGCTGAGTCAATTTTGCAACTTTGAAATAGAGTTAGGTTCTTTCGTCCAAAAACGACAAATTGAGCCAATGACTATCCAGTTTTTGCCTAAATACTGTCTTCTCTTAGCTCTCATGGAGTTCAACTTTAATTTTTTGGAAGAAATCTCAAATAATGTGCTTACCTTGTGTACAAATTGAACGTTATATCCTCGTCATCATTTACCGGGCAACACCCAAAACAATACCCTTTTGGAATTACACGCACGCTGAACGGGTTATTCTCGAAACCTAAAAAAACAACGAGTTTTAGTACTCAGTATTGATTCTTCCAAAAAGTTTTCAATTTCTGTACGCTTTGTAAACATTAACATTACGAATTTACACAGCGGGGTTTTCTGACGGAAAGTTTTGAAGGAGCAAAGTTAATGTCAAGATGTTGTGGAGGTTACGCGCATTGCTGTTCTGCCTTCAATTTTCAAAATAGGCTGGTTATCATCCTCCGCCTAACATAATATCTACTCGATTTTATCGGAAAGCCTGCAGCATTGCAAACTGATATACGTGTTTTTTTCAGTTTCACCATCGATATCTGCGGAGAAACGCCACTGTTACAAACTTAGAGCAGATTGAAAAAAAAATTCCAACTTCATTCCCAAACGTTATTGGGTAGCTGAAACGCAACATCTCTTCGTCAAAAAAAATTTAAAAAATTCGCATCCATTTAAAAAATAATTTTATCGGAAAGCCTGGGGCATCGCAAACCGACATACGTGTTTTTTCAGTTTCACCATCGATATCCACAAAAAAACGCCACTGTTCCAAACATGTGCTCATCTCCCCAAAGGTTACCGGGCAACTGACAACGCAACATCTCTTCGTCAGCACCTCAAAAAAAATTAAAAAATTCGCACCAATTTAAAAAATAAATTTTATCGGAAAGCATGCAGCATCGTAAACCGATGTACGCGTTTTTTTTCAGTTCCACCATCGATATCCGCAGAAAAACGCCACTGTCACAAACTTAGAGCAGATTGAAAAAAAAATTCCAATTTCATTCCCAAACGTTATTAGGTAGCTGAAAACGCAACATCTCTTCGTCAAAAAAAAATTTTAAAAATTCGCATTCATCTAAAAAATAATTTTATTGGAAAGCCTATCGGAAAGTAGATTGGAAAAAAAAATCCAACTTCATTCCCAAACGTTACTGGGCAACAGAAAACGCAACATCTCCTCGTCAGCGCCAAAAAAAAAAAAAAAAAAAAAAAAAAAAAAAAAAAAAAAAAAAAATTAAAAATTCGCATCAATTTAAAAAATAAATTTAACAGAAACCATGCAGCATCGTATACCGATGTACGCGTTTTTTTCAGTTCCACCATCGATATCCGCAGAAAAACGCCACTGTTACAAACTTAGAGTAGATTGGGAAGAAAAAAAAATCCAACTTCATTCCCAAACGTTATTGGGTAACTGAAAACGCAACATCTCTTCGTCAGCGCCCAAAAGAAAAAAAATGTAAAAATTCGCATCAATTTAAAAAACAAATTTAACAGAAAGCATGCAGCATCGTAAACCGATGTACTCGTTTTTTTCAGTTTCACCATCGATATCCGCCGAACACACCACTGTTACAAACTCCGAACGGGTCGGAGGAAAAAAAAACACCGGCACTCACGAAGACCCACCTGAAAAATAGAGATAGGTGGAGCACAGCATGAGGCCGGAGAATACCATGAGTGAGGAAACACATTTGAAACCGCGGACTTGACACGACCGGGGAATAACACCTTTCACGTCACCGGGAGTGAGGAATGGTGCACTTTTCGCGCGAAAATCGCTCGGGAAAACGAAAATCGCTCGGGAAAACGCGAGCCCGTCTGAGGCGGCCGCGTCACGGAGGCGCGAAGAGGCCCGGAGGAGCCGCGAGACGCTGCGCTGGCCGGGCTTCGAGTCATCTCGCCCGGGGCGACGACTCCCGAAAGAGTAAATAAATAAAGAGGAATAATAGTGATAACATAATAACCGCCACCGAAACAATAATCCCGGTCGTGTGAACGTTTTTTCCTTCTTCTTTTTTTCGGCAGCAATCGGTCCGACGAGGAAGGGCTCCGTTGCGAGCCGCGCATGCGTCGTGGCGTTGCCGTTTCTGACGGTTTTCTGATTTTATTGAGGACTTTGCTATGATAGAACACTAGCAATGATATGAAGACTCAGGGCCGTATCCAGTGTCGTTCTTTAATCAGCCCCTTTGTCTAAGAGATCCCATTCGGTTTACACTGCAATCAAGGGAGGTGTAAGGGAGCCCTCAAAATTGCATCATAAAAGGGACAATTTTCGCCAACTAAGAGTAAAATTCAGCTTTTGGATTCGGGGCCATGAAAGTGGTTACAATGATTTGCCTCCACAAAAAATCCAAAATAGCAGAGAAAATGTTCCCAAGTTTTGTAAATTTTACGGTAGACACCTACCTTAAGGTTTGTCAACATCGTAGAATTTTTTCCTCCACTTTCTGCTATGATGCTTATGATGTTATTTTGAGGGTTTTCTTAAACCTCCCCTAATCGCAGTGTAAACCAAATGGAAACTCTTGCGTCGTTAGTGACGTATTTCATATAGCGCCCGGAGCAGTCGGAGTTACGGTTCGAGCACCCGGAACTTCCGGCCTTCTGAGCCTGTATCACGGACGGTATGTCTATATTCTCCCGTGCTAAGGAAAAGCACCGTATTTGAACCCTCAGGCGTTGCTTAATTTCCTTTGATAAGATACGGGCTTACTGGCAAAGCTGTGAATATTAATCTATCAACTTTCAAGACAAACGTATTCGCAATTTATCTGAAATAAATTTACTAAAATATCTGAAACTTTCAAGAAAAAATGTGCATGACTTCCAAAATACACTTTTTATGAGAAGAAATTTGGAAACATTCGAATGTTCATACGGCGTTTTTTCTCAGCACATGCACTGGGGGAAAAAACGCATTGGATCTAGAGTCCAGACTCTTAAAAACATCGACAAAAAAAAATACTCTTGATTCAATCAGATTTAAGCTTAAATCAAGAACCAAGCTTCCTTAATTTGAGCGGATTTCGTTTTGATTTAAGCTTAAATCTGATTGAATCAAGAGTCCTTTTTCTTGTCGATGTTTTCAAGAGTCTGGACTCTAGATCCAATTTGTTTTTTTTTTTATTTCCAGTGAGCAGTATAGCCCGCAACGTTTTTTCACTGCCCATGTGTGATTGAATACGGCAACGAGGTACGAAGGTGAGAAGTCACGATGCCCGCGGTCAAGATCGCCACCGGACCAGAACAAGACGGTGATTGGTGCTGAGTGCCCCCCGGGGTTGGGGGGCGCGGGGTAGCGGGGACTTAATCAAGGGACGATCAAACAAAAGAGCACGGGTGGAGGCGGAAATTGAGTGACGATGCAATAATTTCCAAGTCCGTGGCGCTCCTAACACGAATTTTTCCGGCGTTTTTGGGGGTGAGGGGTGTGGGAGAATCTTGACCCGATCCAAAAGACGACCAGCTGCGGAAAATGATGATTGAGACACACACCAAGTCAATTGCTCACGCTCTCGAATGATGAGCCTGAAAATCACAGTTCCAATTTTTACTTTGAGTGGCGTTATTTGGGAAATCGAAGTTAATTGCTGTAGCTATGATTTGCGATGTCGGTACAATAACGGGGAAAAATTGATGGACCCCCGAAAAAATGTTCGTTGGCAGTGAGGTGTAAACAGTAATTTTCAAAGAATCTTGAGGATTAAAAACTGTTTGAATTTACGAGGAGAAAACCCTTTTGCGGTACATTTTATTCAAGGATAATTTACCCTTCCGCCAGACTGGCGTAAAAACAATCTTAATAAAAGTACCTTAAATTTTCTGAGAATTTTTCAACACTCGGTCAAAAATTTTTTGAGAGAGTTAAAACCACTTTCAAAATTTCGTTCCATGGTTTCTACTTAAATTTTACCTCTCGTAAATTTTATGTATTTAAAAATTACTTAAAATATTATTTATATTTCGTGAATATGAATACCTTTTTGGGAGCTGTCTTTTTGAGGCTAACGAGTAATTATAAAGGGGTTTTCTGAGGCCAAAAATACTAGGGATATTCTGATGCATGTACAGTGTGAAGTCTCTTCTCTGCGCTATAGAGAGAACTCTGTTGTGTTTGTTTTACAAGAATGAAAATTAATTTTAGACTCTAGCGTGAAAATATTCATGGTGTTTTAAAATTTTTATACGGTTCCTCTCACTGATGAAAACCCTTTTTTGGCCGAAATTGGGAAGCTTTTCATAAAAGTAGAAATTAATTTCAGACTCAAGCGCCGTAATATTCATAGCGCCCCCAAATTTGTCTTCCCGCCGACGATAAATTAAGACCGAAGCAAAGGCATTAACAAGTTTACGTTGCGTCAAAAATTACGCTTACAAATATTAAACAAAATTCCGGGGGACTTTCGGCGGGGAGCACTTCCAAAGTTTTACAGACGTTGTCCAAAGTTAAAAGTCCATCGCGCTGCGTTCGGAGAGAACAAAGCGTGACTTCGCGAGCAAGTTCGGTCATTAGGCATGGCTCCCTTTAAGGAGCAGTGATTCGGGGCGCAGCCCCTGAAAACGATCAAAAACCGGGGGTGGAGGGGGGCGAGTATGAGCTTTTGTCACGCAACTTTCGTGAGCACGCAATTCTCGAAGTCACACGCGGGTTAAAAAAACGTCGGGCGGTAAACAAACAGTGGCGTGGCGTGCTCTGCGATATATTGATGGATCTGCCATTTAAACCCATGGAAAAGGATCGACAAACAGGGTACATCCAAATAATCGATTCTTCGTCACAGCTTCAAGTGGGGAAATGTCGAAAATCGATCATTCTTCCCTCGCCACCGTAAACAAAGGATGCGAACAATGGGAAGCGATGAATAGCCATGTGCCTGTCGCTGTTGTTTTAGCGTTGCCGCGCCCGACTTTTAGAAAAAGACCTCCTAACTTTCCAACTTTCATTTTTCCCGTATTTAAAAGATATCACGCACCATCTGTTCCACTATTGAATCGGTTACTGTCAGACGGGCGTAAGTTCGAAAAGTCATGAGCCCTAGCGTCCTGCGTGAGCAGCGGAAGCTAGGGCTCTCGAGTTTTTGGACTTCATATATGTCCGTCTCTCAGGAACCGAGTCTAGTTACATTAATCTTGTGTAATCTTGTCACGGCGAGGAATTCCGTCTTTTTTAAGCTGTGGACGTGATCGAGGTCTCTACGGAAACTGCTGTGGAGGGTGCTTTCCTGGCCATTACACAGCCCGAATTTCGCGGCCGTCTCGTGGTAAAAAAAATCCTGGATCATAATTTAAACATTTAAAGACAGGGAGCTCCTTTGGATCAAATTAGACAGGACAAAACCAAGGTTTATTTTGAGGGGGGAAAAATAAATGAAAATCATAAGTTGTTTTGAGCTTAACTATTCACATGTTTCCCCGGTTAAAAAGGTAAAGTCAATGAAAAAATATTTTGAATATTAAGAAAGCTATGTCAAACTTTATCTTCGATCCGAATTGGATCTTGGAGAGGAATACAATTTCAACCGCGTCTCTCTCGGTTCGATCTTGATGTGACTAGTTTCTTTTCTCCTAAACTTGGTCTATCTAGCTTTGAGCGCTTAATTTCCACTAATGGGCGAAAAATTGTGGATCGAGCCCAGTACATTAGTAGATAAACCACAGGAAAGAGTAAAAATTTAGGAAGTTGGATAGTCTCTACTTCGTAAATTAATCAAAATTGTTGCAATGTTTTCAAGGATCGACTTTACCGAGCACATTTAGAGGGTGAAAAATTAGGTACACTTTGATTGAATTTCATTTTGCAATAAAGAAGTAGTATTTATATTTCATTTTAGAAACAAAGTACGTGCTATCAGTTTCCACATGCAGATACGTGCTTTTAGGAATAAGCCAAAAAAAATTTTCCTCATCGCAAAATGTAGTCCACTGCACTAATTATCATTAACATACATATAAATAAGTGTGCGTTTCATTATCATGGTTTCCTTGGATGTGTACTTACTACTTGAGGCTACTAGTTCCAAAGTGTACAATGTCCATAAGAGTGGTTTGTCACAAAAGCGCAAAAAAACTGTCTTGAGCTCGCTGCGTTTTGCTGCGACCTACCTTTTTAATGCTGCTAATTTAAAACGATTTTGGCTGTTTTGGCACACAATTAAATTATTCTCCGATTCTTCTCTATTGGCTGATCAAGGATCCACTTCTATCTCAATTTCGGCTAAAATGGACATTTTACGCTTTGGAACCAGTAGCCTCACTTTCTATTCGGAATACCAGGAATAATATAGCTATCAGTTAGCAATAAAATACTCGAATAGAAAGAAAACACCCGAATAGATTCATAGGCCGACTGATATAACGTCACGCCTCCAACAACGCTCTGATACAACTATTATTGCTTCATGTCTGTGCATGTTGCATATACATAAAAATGAAGGAGCACCGGCTTTTTCATCTGCCGAAACAAGATCTGATCCACACAAGCAAGAGAAAGATTGTGGTCATTGTGTTTCCTGTTCCGGTGGAAAGTTCCCGAACATTGAGTAGCACGGCGGGCGTTAGTTACACTTATCCACAACCGCGGAAACCAGGCCCAGTGTGGTGGCAACGCTTTGTTAAGCTGTCACCCTCGTAAGATTCGAATCGTTGATCGATACGTAACGTAGGCCGTGGCGCTATTATGGTTCACAAAGGCGAGAACAACTTCAACGGGCTCTTTCAGCTTTGATTTGTAGTGGCGTTGCCTGATTCTCACCTAAAAACCCCCTCTCTCACATCACAAGTAATGCGAGGATCCAGAGTTTCCAAGACACACCTGCAACCATGTTCGTGAACAGTGATAAAGCGACACCGAAGTTACAAATGAGCCGAACCTTAGAGGAACTCGACGTGTCATGGCGGGAACTTCTTACGTTTGCCGATAAGACAGCCTACCTAGCTGTCAATTAAGTAGGCCTGAAATTCGGACTCTAGAGG